TTTCATAAATACTTGTGTGTGTTTTCTGCATTTTCAGTAATCAAAAAGACATATTCCTGTCTTAAATTATGCTACTGATTACTTTCACACTTTTCAGAAATAATAGTCATTATTTCTATAATCTTCAGAGACAAGAGAAAAGCAGTGTGTTGAAATATCTTCTGTTAGTCAAGAGATTTGGTACACTTGTACTTCTCTCTCCTCTCATCCTGTTATTTTTGTAATTTTTTACAAAAGTAAAGTTTTAGATACAAATAATGGCACATTTTGTGTTTCATTTTGTAATATTTATAAAGTTAGTAGTATAATCTTACTTTCACTTACAATTTAAATTTTTAAATTTAAGTGAAATATTTTGCTAGGTATGATGTCACACAACTGTACTCCCAGAACTTTGGTGGAGACAAGAAGATAAAGAGTTTAAGACTAGCTTCATATATAAATTCAAGACCAGCTTACTATACAGTATAACCTGTCTCAAAAAACAAGTAAATATTTTTCCACAAATTTATTTTTATTGATTTAAGAGCCACAGAATTTGTATTAAATTTATATTTAATTTTGGTTTTTATAACCAAACACTTGCAATCCTATCCCTGTGTGTGTGTGTGTGTACAAAATACCCATTTACTTCTCTCTCTGTCTCTTCTTTCCTTAGTAAAAGATGCATTTACTTCATCTGATAAGAAACATTTAGCTGTGGGAGCATGTCTCTGAGCAAAAATTTCATTGATAAACTATATGAGGGGGAAAAGGAAAAATTATGCCAAAAATGTAAAAATCTAATTTAAGGTGCCTGACTGACAGATTAAATCTCATTTTCTTGAGAGTGCTTACTATTTTTTTCTGAGACAGGGTTTCTCTGTGTAACAGCCCTGGCTGTCACGGAACTCGCTTTGTAGACTAGGCTGACCTCAAACTCACAGAGACAAAGGTGTGTGCCACCACCACCTGGCAGTTACTATTGTTTTATCTCTCTGGTACTACAAAACTGGCTTCAAACAGATTGAGAAAATGCCTTCAAACAGATCCAAAATGGATTGGGTAGCTGGACTTAGCAATCCTGACACTTAGGAGGCAGAGGCAGGAGATGACAAGTTTAAGACTAGCTAGGTTTTCATAACAAGAACTTCTCTCCAAAAACCAGAGAGGAGTAGGGAGAGGGAAGAGGAGAGATGGAGGGAGAAAGAGAGAAAGAGCGCACCAGCCAGCTCCAACACCATCATTACCACCAACAGAATTCTCCCTAATCTGGAATGGAGTGTATGAAATTGAAAGGATTTTAGAGCCATTTAACACACACATTTAATTTCAACAAAGCATTGTATTGGGGTTTTAACTGGAATTGTATTAGACTCTGTAGATCAGTTTACAGAGAATTGTCATCCTGACAATATTGAGCTGTACAATTGATGAACCTTTTTTTTTTCTTTTTTTGAGACAGAATTTCATGTTGGTTGATCTTGAACTTGAACTCACCATGTAACTATGGATTACCTTGAACCTCTGATCTTTCTGTTCTCTTCCCAGAGTTCTAAAATTAGTTATGTTCCACAATACATACCTGGCTTTATGAACATTATTTAGAGCTTTTAAATTTTTAACAGGCATGTTTTAGAATACATATTTATCTCCAAACATTTTGTAGTTTTTGCCATTGAAAGTAAAACACTTATATCTGACTTGTATATGTTTGCCTTATATATGTTTCATACACTTTTAGGTATTTTGCATCTATATTCTACTTCTCTGTTTTTGTTTTTTGTTTTTGTTTGAGGCAGGGTTTCACCATGTGGCCCTGCCTGACCTCGAGCTTGCTACAGACCAGGCTGTCCTCTGACTTACAAAGATCTCTGCCTGTCTCTGCCTCCTGAGTGCTGAGATTGAATTTGTGCACCACCGTGCCTGGCCTCCATGCAGAAAGCTTACTTGTTGGACTATTTTTGGATCGCTAGCCCCCAAATAATGACATGGAGATGGTAGGCAGAATTTTCCTGTGCCTCAGCAGCTACTTCCCAAATAACCACTCAGAAACTTAATATTAATTGTAAATGATTGGTCAATAGCTCAGGCTTGTTACTAGCTAACTCTTACATTTTAAATTAACCCATATTTCTATCTACCTTCTGCCATGTGGCTTATGGCTTGTTACCTCATTTTCTATATGTCTTGTTTCCTCTGTATCTCCTAGCATCTTCTCTGATTCTCATGACTCAGCTCTTCTTTTTCCTGGCACCCTTAGTCTGGTTTTCCCACTTACACTTCCTGCCTGGCTACTGACCAATCAGCTTTTTATTAAACCAATAAGAGTGACACATCTTCACAGTGTACAAAAGGATTATTTCACAGCATTTCCCCCTTTTCTGCCTACACAAAGCTTAGCCTTTAGCTTAGGCTTGTTTTCAACTAGCTCTTATAACTTAACCCATTTTTTTTTAAATCTGTGTTCTACCACATGGATCAGTTACCTCAGTACAGCATGTCCAACTTGCTCTGAGTATTCTGGCAAAATCTCTGTGCCTAAATTCCTCTTCCTCTTTTGCTCTCTCCCAGAAATCCTGCCTATCCTATCCTGCCTAGCTGTTGGCTGTTCAGCTCTTTATTAAACCAATCAGTAGGCATAATAGGCACAGACACATCTTTACAGTGTACACCAATATTATGTAATAGATTCATGTACATATTTTTGAGTTCTGAGTTTTCCCTCCAACTTCTGGATCTCCTGGAGTATATATTTTCACATCTCTTTCCTAAAAATGTAAACTTTAAAAGTTTGGTGCTATTATTAGACATTAAACAAGTAATTACCCACAATATAAAATGATCCAGTTGATGTTCCTATAATAAAGTTGTGTGCCGGGGGGAGTATACTGTATGCACTTGCTTTTAGTTTATGTTTTTATTATTATTAAGAAATTTTCTGTTCATTTTACATACCAACCACAGATGCCCCTCTCCACCCTCTTCCCTCCCCCCTCCCCCAATAGCCTTGTCCTCCAACCCACCCCCCTTTCCCACCTCCTTCCAAGGCAAGAACTCCCATGGGAGTCAGCAGAGCTTGGTACATTCAGTTGGGGCAGGTCCAAGCCCTTCCCCCTGAACCAAAGCTGTGTAAGGTGTCCTGCCATGGGTACTGGGCTCCAAAAAGCCTGCTCATGCACCAGGGATGGATCTTGGTGCATGAGCAAGGGGCCCCTTAAGCAGGTCAAGCTAAACAACTTTTTCATCTATGCACAGTTCATGGGTTCCCACTAGTTTGATTTGGTTTTCTCTGTAGGATGCCCCATCATGATCTTGATGCCCCTTGCTCATAGAATCCCTCTTCTCTCTCTTCAACTGGGCTCCCGGAGCTTGGCCTGGTGCTTGGCTGTGGATCTCCACATCTGCTTCCATCAGTTACTGGATGAAGGCTCTATAATGACAGTTAGGCTATTCACCAATCTGATTGCCAGTGTAGGTCAATTCAGGCACCCTTTCCACTATTGCTAGTAGTCTAAGGTGTAGAAGATTGCAAATAGATCCATATCTGTCACCATGCACAAAACTCAAGTCCAAGTGGATCAAAGACCTCAACATAAATCCAGCTACACTGAACTTGATAGAAGAGAAAGTAGGAAGTAGTCTTGAATGCATTGGCACAGGAGACCACTTCCTAAATATAACACCAGTAGAACAGACACTGAGAACAACAATTAATAAATGGGACCTCCTGAAACTGAGAAGCTTTTGTAGGGCAAAGGACATGGTCAGTAAGACAAAATGACAGACTATAGAATGGGAAAAGATCTTCACCAGCCCCACATCTGACAGAGGGCTGATCTCCAAAACATATAAAGAATTCAAGAAACTAGACATTAAAATACTGAGCAATCCAATTTAAAAATGGGCTACAAAGCTTAACAGAGAATTTCCAACAGAAGAATCTCAAATAGCTGAAAGACATTTAAGGAATTGCTCAACATCCTTAGTCATCAGGGAAATGCAAATCAAAATGACTCTGAGATACTATCTTATACCTGTTAGAATGGCTATGATCAAAAACACTGAAGACAGCTTATGTTGGAGAGGATACGGAACAAGGGGAACACTCCTCTACTGTTGATGGGAGTGGAAATCAGTATGGCAGTTTCTTAGACAACTGGGAATCAATCTGCCTCATGACCCAGCTATACTACTCTTGGGCATATACCCAAGAGATGCTCAATCATACCACAAGGACACATACTCAGCTATGTTCATAGCAGCATTATTTGTAATAGCCAGAACCTGGAAACAACCTAGATATCTCTCAACCAAAGAATGGATAAGGAAAATGTGGCACATATACACAATGGAGTATTAATCAACAGTAAACATCAATGACATCATGAAATTTGCAGGCAAATGGATGGAACTAGAAAATATCATCCTGAGTGAGGTAACCCATACTCAGAAGGACAAACATGGTATGTACTGACTTATAAGTGGATACTAGATGTAAAGCAAAGGATAACCAGACTATAATCCATAGCTCCAGAGAAGGTATCTAACAAGGAGAACCCTAAGAGGGACACATGGATTGCCCTAGGAAGGGGAAATAGATGATATCTCCATGAGTGAACTGGGGGGGTGAGGAGGGGTGATGGAGGGTAGAGGATGGGGGATGAGAACATAAGGGAACGGGATGGTCGAGCTGGAACAGAGATAGAGTGGGAGAGCAAGGAAAGAGATAGCATGATAGAGGGAGACATCAAGGGAACAGGGAGAAACAGGGTGCTAGAGAAGTCCCCAGGTATCTACTTTACTTTTTCACATGCCAGTATATCCTGGAGATCACTGTGTAGAGGTAATATATATTTGCTAGTCTTTTTAAACAGGTAAATGATGCTCCATTTTATGGATGTGTTATAATACATTCACCTAGTCCTCTTTCTGATTGAAATTTGAGTTGTTTCAAGTCTTTGGTATTACAGAGCATGCTGAAGTGAATAATATGTATCATTTCATGTTTTTCTTTCCAGGATGTGTTTGGGGTTTACAATGGAATTACTGGGTAAAAGAACTGCCCTTGTAATCTTGCAACATATTTCCAAGTTCTTTCCTGGTAAGGTTGTGTCATTTTGTATTTCTGCCACTAATATTTTTGATAACTTCTGCTAATCTGAAAAATGATATTCCAGTTTTCTCTTAATTTACATTTTTCTTATTGCAAATAAGGTTCAACATCATTTCATATGGTAAAGAACTTTTCACATGGCTAAGAATTTCTTTACTATTCCCTTTCCCTCTCTTTCCCTCCCCCCTCTTCCCTTCACACAGAGAATGAACCCAGGGACACCAGCTGTGCTGGATAGTTTTTTGTCAACTTGACACAAATTAAGGTCTTCTGGAAAGAGAGAACCTCGTTGAAAAAATGCCTCCATATGATTGCCAGTAGGCAAATACAGGAGGGCACAGTCCATTCTAGGTGGTATAAGAAAGCAGGCTACGCAAGCCATGTGGAGCAAACTAGTAGGCAGCATTTCTCTGTGGTCTCTGCTTCACTTCCTGCCTCCAGGATCCTGCCTCTGGGTTCCTGGTTCCTACCTTGAGTTCCTGCTTTGGTTTCCCTGATGATGGACTGTGCTTGTAAGATAAACCCTTTCCTCTTCAAATTGCTTTTGGCTATGGTGTTTTATCACAGCAATAGAAAGCCAACTATTGCTTTTGAATTTCTTTCCTGGGATTTTCTGTTCAAATTCTTGGTCTTTTTTTTTTTTTTTTTCAATTTGGGATATTGACTTTTTTCCTTTTCTTTGGAATCTCTTCCTATGTAAGAATGCCAACCCTGTGTTTTCCTAGTGAGTGCAGCAAAAGCACCAAACTACATTACTCTGTACATAGGCAAAAAGTTTCTTGGAGGACAGACTGCCTGGCTGGCTCACTAGAGTAGAAAACAGCAGCTTGGAAGGAAAAGCCTTGTCAGTTTTATCCTGAGAGGTAGCCTGTAGGCCCAAACAGCCTGAGAGTTAGTGTGGGGACATTCCAGGAAGAGGTGAGAATGAGTGTTGGAGGTTAGGTTTCTGTTTCCTAGCAAAACCCAGTTCTGGTGGGACCTGAGCTTCCCTCTTTAAACATAGCACCAGCACTGCCATTGTGGAGCCCATTTTGTGACCTATCTTTCTTTTATTCTTTCTGGTTTGTGTTTGTGTGTTTTTGTGTGCATGGATTACATGTGTGTGCAGATGCACCTGAGTATGTGTGTATGTGGAGGCCAGAGACAACCTAGATTATCATTTTCTCAGGAGCCACCTACTAGGTCTTTAGGACAGATTCTATCACTGGGGTTTAGGACTTGCCAATTAGGCTAAACTGGATGGTGAGTGAGCCCCAGAGACCATCCTGTCTCTTCTTCCCTCTCTGACTAGAATTACAAGAGTACATCACCATGGCTCAATTTTTATGTGGCTACTAGGGATTGAACTCAGATTGAATTTATACTTGTACAGCAAACACTCTATCAACAGAACTATATTGTCAGCACATATCTAGGTTTTAAAGTAATAATTTTATTTTTAGATTATAGAGACATTCACTTTATTCCCTGGCCCCTCCCCAAATTAATTTTTTATGTGTAAAAAAACTTTGAAGTGGGGTGGTGGGGTGCAGCTGTAGTTTGGACTGGCATTGAACTCACTATATAGCCTCAGACTCATAGCAATCTTCCTGTCTCAGCCTCCCAAATGCTGAGATAACAGGCATGCACCACTATGCCACATTACAGTGAAATTATTGATTCATTGAAAATTCTTATGGTGTAAGAAGTAGATAAAAACATCATCTTTTCTGTATGATCCCCTAGTTGTCTTTACATCTACCACCTCTTTTCTCCTGAGTCAGCTAAGATGCTTGCCTCTTAAGTCCTTTTTATTTAGTGTGAAGGTGGTATATGCATGTAAATATGTTGTTGTTGGTGTGTGTTGTTGATACATATGAGAGTGCAGGTTCCCACACAAGAAATTGCAAGTGACTGCACTGTGGTGTGTGTGTGTGTGTGTGTGTGTGTGCACGCGCGCGCGCGCAGGGAGGCCAGACCAGGACATCAGATATCTTTTATGAATCTGCCTTGTTGCCTTAAGACAAGATCTCTCACTGAAACAGAAGCTCATTTTGACTAGGCTGGCTGACTAGTGAAGTCTCTGGATCCATCTGTCTTAGCCCATCAATGCTGGAGTTATAGGCACCCACATCCATGCCTGGCTTTTTACATGGGTGCTGGGGATTCAAACTCAGGTTAGTCCTCATGACTAAGACCAAGCTTTTTTACCCACTGAGACATCTCCTCAGCTCAGATGCTTGCCTTCATCACATACTAAATTTCAATTTGCATGTGGTTTTTGTTTTGTTTATGTCTTTTTAAAGATGGGTATATAGATGGTAGATACTTGTGGGGTATCATTTGGTGTTTTAGTTCATGCTTACAGTGTGTCATATTCAAATCAAAATAAATAAATAATTTCCTCAAGCTGTTACATTTGTGGTGAAACCATCAAAAATTTACTTTTCTAATGTTTTGAAAAATATACAGGTGCATTATTTTTACAGTCACTCTACTATGTAAGAGACCAACAGAACTTATTTCTTTTAAGTACAGGTTAGTATCCATTGACAAGTCTTTCTAAGGGGAAGTTTTGATAGGTAGCAGCCGTTTGTCACCTTAAAGTATCTTCTTTTTTTTTTTTTTTTTTTTTGGTTTTTTGGAGACAGGGTTTCTCTGTGTAGCTTTGCGCCTTTCCTGGAGCTCACTTGGTAGCCCAGGCTGGCCTCGAACTCACAAAGATCCGCCTGCCTCTGCCTCCCAAGTGCTGGGATTAAAGGCGTGTGCCACCACGCCCGGCTCGGTATCTTCTTAAAGATGGCTTATTAGTTTGAGAAATTGGACACACCTTAATCAGATGATCATAATTAACAATACCAATGAGGAATAGAAGTCAATAAGAAAACATTATATGCCTTCAAATAAAATACTAAGCAAGAAATGACATTACCTACTTGTGCAGTTTTCTATCTGAGTCCAAGGAAAATCAGATACTTACAGAATGAAAATTATATTTAAAAGCAGGAATCACTTCTGGAAGAACAAAAACCAAAATGTTCCTGTTTAAAGGCAGAGTGTTTAAAGTTCCTGTTTATTGTAGTGTGAAGAACACACCTTCACATTAATGCTTATACAAGTAAACTCAAATTAGCCACCATTGGGTCTTTATTTTTAATTCAATATATTTCTTTTAGGCATTGAGGAAGACATTTTACTTTAGAAATTACCTATGCATTATTTAGAAGATTAACCATTAAAAAAATAAAAATAAAACACAGATGCATGGCAAATATAAGAAGTAGAATGCTTGCATGAGCTCCAGGAAGTGAATATTAAGTAAAGATGAATCCAAAAGGATATAGTTGCTCTTTCTCTGAACTTGAATTCTAAAAACAGAACAAATACTGACACATTATGAAGTTTGAGTATGACATGCCTTGGATTTCTTCCTAATCACTGCTTTCTGTTTGGCATGCTTTTATATTCAGAAAACTGAAAATGGTAGTTGCTTATACACACAATCAGACTCTTAAGAATAATCCTACGAAAATTATTCTTATCTTTGTTTTATAATGAATTCCAGGAACAATCAGGTCAATGGAGAATCTTAGGTACTGCTGAGAACTACCAATTTTGTGACAATCATTGAAATTGTGCTGCATTACAGCTTCTTAGAGGATGTACAAACAAACCAGGATGTAAATAACCCTCTTCCATTTTTTCATTTCAGCTCTTTTTCCCCTTGTTAATCAAACCCAATGCTGTTGCAGACAATAGAGTATAGAAAACTATATCTGATTTTTTTCTAGGTGTTTATTATTTTGTAATTATCTGGCAAAATAAAGACTGATGTTTAGTTAGTTCCCATATTGAGACATTGTCTTTCTGCATTATTTACAATGCATGAAAACCTACTTAGCAAACATAGAAAAATATAATACATTCAGCAATCAAAAATCAGAACTACGACTGGCTGTAGATAAGATGAGCTAGTGTTGTGAGATGGGTTTTCGTGGGAGACTGTTTCAGCATTGTGGCTGATGATGTGCAAAGCTCTCTTCATAGGGATGATGAAAAGTGAAAATACAGCAGACTCAAAAGGCTGCTGCCAACTGCCTAGATGTCCTTGAACAAGTTTGCTAACCTCTATTGAATGTCATTGTTTTGGTTTGCAAGTTAGAATTTCTATAAGATGTTTTGTAGTGTATCGCTAGAGCTTACAGGATCATTCAAGTGCAGAACCACCTGGTAGGGGCTGAAGAATTGTTACAAGATTGTTAGTGGAGAAAATGAGATTCTGTTTGGGGGGGTTCATAGTCTCTTAAATAATTAAAAAACAGACTAAGAAGGAAACTTGAGGACAATTTTATTAGATTTTGAAAGAAAAGCAACAATATAGACAAACTAAAAATCCCAACATTCACCTGCTGGGTCCTGCACAACTTCTGAACAGTCTTGAAGGGAGGAGTGAGGATTAAGAAATAACAAATTGGTTAAAAAAAAATAGATGACGTAAAAGAAAAAGACAGAGACACAGAATAGCATTGGGAGGGCTCTGGGTTAATACCTCAGTCACCTTGAGTTTATTTATTTTTTTGGTTTTTTTGAGACAGGGTTTCTCTGTGTAGTTTTGATACCTGTCCTGGATCTCGCTCTGAAGACCAGGCTAGTCTCGAACTCACAGAGATCTGCCTGGCTCTGCCTTCTGAGTGCTGGGATTAAAGGCATGTACCACCTTTGCCCGGCCGCCTTGAGTTTATTACAGCCATTTTAAACTAGATAAAGGAGTGAGCTATGATTGGTCTATCAGAAAAAAAGCACTTCCAAATAAAATTGGCAGGTTTGGCTATAATGTCTCAGGGCAACTAGCATAATTGTAATAGGAAGAAATAAAAGTCATCTGAAACACTTGTTAACAGCTTACTATGTGACTGGGAGTTGCTAGAAATGAAAAGAATTGGATCACAGGTAGCACTACCCCCTAGGAGTTAAAAATGTGGAAGGTGAGACAAGTCCACATGCCATGA